GGGGAATTAGGTTTATTGGGAAATAAAACAATAATACTAATTGTAATTGAACATATACTGTACAATGAAAGTGAGATATTTAGTTATACTAGATGAAAAATCTGTGATGGTAAATGTTATTCGAGAACATGGATGTAACAACACTTGTAACCAAATGACATGCTGTATGTGATGATGGTTTTTTGTGTGTGTTTTTTGTTTTTCTTTTGTTGTGTGTGGGTGTTGTTTGTTTAATAAAAATAGAAATTTATATTAAAAAAATGTGTTAAGATACTTAAGGGTGCTTTTATCCACTATTCTTAGCTTTTAGCCTCATTAATTTGGATTATTAAAGATTCTGATGATATTAACATCACCATAATGCTGAGTACAACATAGATCTTTGTTGACATGATGTAAATCACCTAATCTTATTTCTTTAATGCAAAAATTTGGCATTCAACTTGGTTATTTTATAAATTGCAATAACTCTGGCTTGGTGCCAAAAGTTGTAGTATCTCCGCCGACAAAGCTTTCTGAGTTGTTTACAGTGAGTTTGAAATTGAAGTATGTTTCTTTTGATTTGAAAATTCAGGTAATACAAGATTTCCCACATACTAGATTAAAGTACGGAAGTTGTTGAAAATACAATATGGAAGTAGAAATACTAATTTATAGGGTCTGAGCTTGCCTTATTGTTGCTATGTTTTGATCTGAAGTTAACAAGGTCAGGTCTGTTACAGATGTACATGGTCTAGATTTGAGTTCTCAACATAGTAAGAGACTCTTCCTTCATGCCCTACAAGCTCCAATCCCCAGGCTCAGTGGGGCTCACAATGCCCCCCCCCCCCCGGGCAGTCATTTTATGAATTAAACATTTCCCCTTTTATGGCAGAATCCAGAACATATCCCAAAGTTTCAAATGCATCCACTAGCCAAAAGGTTGAACACAAGTGATACATCAAAAGTTATGGATATCTTGTGTAATAGGGTAAATGCTCTATATAGTACTGGAAGAACAGAACTATAATGGACTAAAGTAGGTAGACTGTTACTATACATTCAATACGTTTTCCCACCCCAGTGAATCAAGGAAGAGGGTTTACAGGTAATTTGGTTATCTTCTGAATAACTTCATCTACGCCAATATAAATTCAAGCAACTTTTTAATTTATATCTTGTGACCTATTGACAGGGCTTCATCAAAGCATGAGCATTACATGCTATTATATTCTATCATACGTGATATGAAGATAGAATTCATTACAATTCTAGTGTCCCAATGCATCAGCAGCATATTGGTTGGTATATGTTATTTTTGCTTTGTTTACTAGACAATGCTAATTGCTTAGCATACANGGGGGGAAAGGTGCATCTTATGCTCCGAAAAATACAGTAATTAACAATGTAAAAACTTCAATAACTGATTAGCAGCAAAACATAAGGCAAGGAGCATGATAAGATTTTAAAAGCACATGCAAAAGAGTCAGGAAGACTAATATTTGAGCAATCTGATTTTGAATACAGCTTTCGGCTGAGCGTTTTTCAGTTCCCTCATTTTTTTTAAGGCAGAAAGATAAATAAATCGGAACCGAACTTTAAGAGCCCAGATCGCTTGAAATTCTGGGTAGAATTTTTCTGTACCCTAAGTACAAATATTTGCCTCAATTGAAAGCACTGGAAGGCCAAAGTAATTCACTCAGATCATGTGGATGAAAAAAAAAAGGTAGAATTTTGCTTACCCTTCCCAAGACGTCAAGAGGTAGTTTGGAGTTCATCAATACTGGCTTCACTTTATCTCCCGAAAGTAAACCATTGACTGGTAAAAGGCTTTCAAAAATGCCATCAAACTTGGCCCTTTCTTCTACCTAGTTAAGAAGGAATAGATTAAAATTGGTTTACATTATATACTGTTGTTTTCCAAAGACTGCAAAATATGACTATCTTGAATTCAGTTTTCTATTTCTATATTAAGTAATGCTTTTTGTATGGGCAAGTACTAGGGGCTATTAATTAAAAAAAATATGTTATATATCTGTCTTTTCTTCCACAATGAATCCTTTGTGGAAGGAGAAAATGGAAAAGAAACAGGATGAAAGCACAAATAGTTTCAAATGGAAGATAATATTGCTTGGACTCCCTGTGACATTTTACGAAGAAAGCAGGATGACTGCATAGTTAACAGTCTCATCTGGGGACACCAAAGAAATAATGCTACAGGTAATCCTCATTTAACAACCCCAACTGGGACCAGCAATTTAGTCATTAAGCAAAGCAGTTTGCTAAGTGAAACTGTGACTGTGCTTATCATCTTATTTCAACTTTCCTATGCTTTACAGACCTGCAAAGGTTGTAAAGGAAAGGACGGGTTGCAAAGTTATTTTTCCATCATTAGTGTAACTGTAAATATTTTCTAAATGAGGGAGTCACTAAATGAGGACTAACTATAAAGAACATTTGTAAATTCACTAAAATTATTGCTAAGGTTTTATAAATGCTGCATACATTCCTTGGTAAATGTTGCACATAAGTGGTATTAACATGTTTTCTCGAAAATAAAACAGGGTCTTATTTTCTTTTGACCCCCGTAATAAGCGCTTGGCCTTATTTTCGGGGAGGTCTTATTATTTTCGAGGTGCAAGAGGTGGCGAGCCTGGTCACCTCATGGTTGCTGCAGTGTTGCAATATTTCCAGGGAGAGCTTATTTCCAGGAGAGGGCTATTTTAGTGCATGCACTCAAAAGCCCTATTGGGCTTATTATCCGTGGAAGTCTTATTTTCAGGGAAACAGGATACACAATGAGGAAAATAGTAAATTCAACTTCATGCTGCTTACAGTAATTTACACGAAACTGGTATTAATCACAATAAAAAAGTAGAGTTCAATTGAGGCACCATTAAGTTCAAAAGCTTAATTAAGAAAAGGGTCTCCTTACTGGACAAGTGAGGCCAACTCATATTTTTCTCCTGGACACTTACTCTGACAGCCCAATGGGCCTCTGTGGAAGCAAGCAGCAGGGGGCTTGTATTGTCGTGCTGCAACAACAAATAAAATACATCAAAGCACTTCCTATGGTTTTCTTTGAAATATAGAAATACTTAACGGAGGCAGCCAAGCCTCAAGTCATAAAGTTTATCAGCCGCATTTAGGAAACCCAAAACCCCTTAATTCTGTATCTGTCAGACACCACTTATGTTCCAGTCAAAAACAGTCCTTTTCAAGGCAATTATTATCAACTTACAAATTTCG